TTTATCTCACACTTATAGGATGCTTCTGTGTGTCACATTGAATAATAATGCTTTAAATTTAGCTAGAGAGTACATAAAGGAAACTTGCCAGTTCCCACAAGACTCTTCTCTAAGCAAGTCTTAACAGACTTTCTTTTAAAAACATTGCCATTAGATGTTTGTTATATATGGCAAACTGCAAGCAATAAATGAGATCAAACTTAGAGTATTCAAAATGTGCCCAATATTTGCATTTTACAGGAAATTTTTTTTCCAGGAGGTGTGTACCATATTGCTGACTCTTAAAATTATTCCATTAGGACAAAATATTCCTGTAGAGTAAGAGACTTATCAGTTAAATACAACAAAAGTATGTCCTCTCAAGTTTTTCCTTGAGACTGGATCAGGAAAACCACTATGGAAATTCAGAAGTGAAGTACTGACTTTGGAGTCCAACAGACCTGGGTTTGCATTCCACCTTTAACACTTACAAACTAAAGTTCAGTTAGCACTTTAAATTCTTTGAGCCTGAGTGACACCGGCTATAAAATAGGGTTAATAATTATTTTCTCTCATAAGTAAATTGTGAAGCTTAAGTGAGAGGATATATATAGAACACTTTTCATGGAACTTGACTTATAGTAAGCAATTTATATGCAGCAATTACTGATTTATGTTTATTATCTTTAGCATAGCTGCATAAGATAAAAGTTTTATTTTGGTAGTATTCAGTTAAAAAATATTTAGACCAATTAGAAGTCAATCTTGAGAAATCCAACCAAGGTATGAAAGGATAAATTATTACTCTTAACTTTTGACCTTACCATTTGCCCTTCTGAAGGAATCCTAATATACTTAAAAAAAATTCCACAAATATTGACTGAATAAGGAGAAAATACAGAGATACTTGAGGAAAGGATAAATGTGTGTTTACTAAAACTGCCTAACAGATAAATGTTTCACATGCTCTGTGATTTATATAACATTTATTTTAATTGACCCTAGTATAGTACTTGGCAGAAAATAGACATTTATTAATAAATATTTGTTGAATAAAACAGTATCCCTCTTTCTACTGTTTTATACAAGTTATTTATGTATTAAATATGTAAACCATTTGTCAGTTTTATATGTTGTGAATATTTCTCCAACTCATCACTTGCCTTATTGTGTTTTTAACACTTTAATTTGCTCAAATCTATCATATTTTCTCTCTATTTTAAAATATAACTTTATGCTTAAAAAGATCTTCCCTACTACTCTGCATTTAAATTTATGACCATCTGCAGGAAAAACGTTTTAAGGCAATGTTTTTCCTATTTATCTCAAGACTACTCATGCCTTTATCCTTCACTAAGGTTATTGGTAAAGTGAGAGTTAACTCCTGTGAACTGTTTTCTCTGGAGGAGGAATTCTCAGTTTCTGGCAGCCTATCCACAGTTAAACTAGTAGACTTTTCTCATTTCCAGTACTGGTACAGCCTTTTTCCATGTTTTATTCCTTTGTTTGTTTCAGTGCCTAACTCATGAAGCAGAGGGAGTGGAGTTAGAAGGAGGAGGTGAAGGGAAAGGGGAAAGAGAAGCTAAGTGATGAAATCAAATCAATATTTTATTTGGAAGGTACCATTCATTGAGATTATACTGAGCCGCAGGCTCCCATGTCCAATAATAACGAATTGTATTGAGTATTGTGGTGCCAGGTACCTTTTAATTGCTTCACAGATATTATCAGAACAATTTTAAGGTGGATATAATTACTCTTTTCTTTTTATATAATCAAGAAAATTTGCAAAGAAGGGTGACAGAACTGCTCCAGTTCACATAGTCATTGTCAGAGCTGAAATTCTAATTAGGGAGGCTAATTCTATGACCTGCATCTTAACCCTGCATTATATACAGCTCAAATTTAACATGTGAAAATGAAACATTTTACTTCTGCCTCAAAATCTGCTTCTTCCTGGTTCTTCCCTATCTCTCTCTCATTTTATTTCCCTATTGCTTATTGCACTTGCAAAAAAATCCAAATACCCCATACCATGGCCTAGAAGGTTCTGCAAGATTATACATCTTTGACCTCATCTTGAAAACTTTTTTCATTTGTTTAACCATTCACTCAACGTTGGTCTTATTGCTGGTCTTCAAACACAACAAACTTATATCTGTCTTACAACTTTTGCACTATTTTTCATATTTTAATGTTTATCCTTGAAATTGTGACTTTCTGGCCGGGCGCGGTGGCTCAAGCCTGTAATCCCAGCACTTTGGGAGGCCGAGGCGGGCGGATCACGAGGTCAGGAGATCGAGACCATCCTGGCTAACACGGTGAAACCCCGTCTCTACTAAAAATACAAAAAGAAATTAGCCGGGCGTGGTGGCGGGCGCCTGTAGTCCCAGCTACTCCGGAGGCTGAGGCAGGAGAATGGCGTGAACCCGGGAGGCGGAGCTTGCAGTGAGCCGAGATTGCGCCACTGCACTCCAGTCTGGGCAACAGAGCTAGACTCCGTCTCAAAAAAAAAAAAAAAGAAAAAGAAATTGTGACTTTCTGCCATTTACCATTTATCTAAAAGGTCACCTCTGCAGTGAAGCTTTCCCTGATTAACCAGTTTAAAATAGCCATCTAATCATTTGTCTGTTTTCATCTCATAGCAGTTGATACTTTAAGCTACTGTATAGCAATTTCTTATTTGTTTACTTTTTGTCTCTTCATTCATATAAACATAAGCTCTGTGTAAAATATAAGCTCTGTGAGAGCAGGGATTTCACTATCTTTACTCACTGCTCAGAAAAGAGTTTAATACACCAGATATGCTCAATAAATACTTGTTTGGCATATAAAGGGTGTATTGAAGAGAGAAATGCATGATCAAAACTGGATGTAGGAAAATGTATCTAATAGTATGGAGGATGGACTGCAGTGAGAAAAAGTATTAGTTGAGGAGACTAGTTAGGAAGCTGCATAATATGGAGGATGATGCTAGAAATAAGGAGAAGAAATGAGAGAAGTGTAAGTCAGTTAAAACCAGTAAAATTCTGAAACTGAGCTGAAGGGACTCTAGGTCCCTTGGAATAAAAAAGTGCCATTCATATAAGTAAGGAATGTTAGATGACAAGTCAGCCTGGGAAAATTATAAATGATAATTACAAGAACAATTTTGAATTTTGCATTTGAGATGCCATTAATAGGCAAAATATATGGGACTCAGAGTTAGCAGAGAAGTCAGGACCAAAGCTGCATTTGTCAGATTGTGTAAGAATTACCAAAGTGGGATTTAGGAATGGGAAAGCAGCTTAGGGCTAAATTTCCAAATCACACACTTTTAGAAGACAGTCAGAAACAAAGAATAGGCAACAAAAAGGAATCAAAGAATGTATAGTTTTAGGAAAGCAAAGGAGACAAGAATTTTGAGAAGAGAGAGATGATCTAATCATAGAGAGAATGACTACAAAGACACTGGTTTTGATAAATAGTTTACCTTTAGAAATTGAGGAAGTGATTTGAAGAGACTGGTGAGGTCCTTAATGCCTCTGGTGGAAGAAACAGTCATGGTGACTTCTCCTGGTAATACAATGCAAAGAGAAGCGGGAAATAATCTGCCTTAGTGAGGAGTAGTGTGAGAAAAGCAAGATTCAATGTAGAATAAGTATGATGAACTCATTTGAGATTTATGTGGAACTTGGGTATACCTACCTAAAGACTGCTAAAGAAATGAGATTGGAACTGTCAACAGATTCAATATCTTTTTTTCAGAAGGTTGGAATATGGAGGCAAGAATAGGGATAAAATTAGCTTAGCTTCAGTGGAAAAAAAAACCTTTTTTTTAATAATGGAGAAAACATAAGTTTATAGTTCAAGCATATAGAGCCAATGCAAGAAGAAAGGTTGAAGATGCAATATTTATTTCACTTTCTTGAGAAAGCAAATAGAAAAAGGAGAAGATTTGGAAACTATAACATTAATTTTACTATTTGTAGCTCTTTACCAAAGGTTTTTCATTTTTTAGAACTTCTTGTAGGCCTTTATGTAGGTGTGACAGCATTAAAAAATCAAACTTTGTCTTTTAATGGTAAGGTTTTCTTAACAAACAGTATTTGATATTATATGTATGTAAGCCATAAATGCACTGGCCTATCTTATGACTTACTTTATTGTTACTTGGTGTGTTGATAGACCAAACATTATAGAAGTTGTGGTTTAAATTCCTACTTTGAGTCTTAAACATGGAAATCTTTGTATTATAAAGATTATATAAATACAAAATTACAATATTGAATTACAAAATAAAAAGTCAATGAATGTTAATTGCTATTAATATTATAAATATTATTTCATGTATTTCCAGAGGCAGAAATACAATACAAATAATATTATAAAAAAGTAAGAATAATTGTTGCACAAATTTTTCAAATTTAGAGGCTCAAATAATGGTTCTAACATATTCACTGGTAAAAATGAGTCAAGTTAAGAAAGATATTATGAATTAATTGTTCATAGATTTAATGATATTATGTATTTGATAAGAAGAAATTACTGAACTGTCATGAAACAGCCTACTGGGCTGCATGCACTTTGTTCAGTACTTGGTTCATGCTCTCTTCTTAGATGGCATATTTCATCCTCATCTCTAAAAGAAAAAAAAATAAATCTTTAAAGTGTTTCTGTAAATTCCTGACCTCACTGGGAGTTAATTCTAGTTGCTGGGAAAGCATATTCATTGGAGTAACCTACATGTAAAACTGAGTTTGTGGTTGCAAGAGTCTCACCATAGGTAATGTCCTTTCTGTCTGTCTTGTTCAAGTGGTAGAGGATTGATTAGAACTGAACACCTTTGTCATTTGGTCCTACATTTCCACCATCTGAGAACTATTCTCTGATATCTAAGGTGCTCTTATGCTAGATATCGCACTTAAGTTTCCTTTAAGCACCTGAACTGGCTGATAGACAGAAGATCAATACATCTAGTTGCGCAGCTTTTGAACTTGTTACTAGCAGAAAAGTAACACTAAAGATATGTTTCCTTACAGGATAATGCAGAATTGATCACTTCTCTGCTTCACAGTGGAGCTGATATACAGCAGGTTGGATATGGTGGCCTCACTGCCCTCCATATTGCTACAATAGCTGGCCACCCAGAGGTAAATCATGCCTTTAGCACCTGTGAAAACAAAGATTATTTATTTTTGGGTCTTGTTCTTAACTGTTTTCAAATACTGTCTTTGAGACTCTACAGGTTGGTTTATTTTTTAGCTATTGAACACATTGATTTCTTACTGGGGTAAAATTTCGCTGTATAAATGAGCTTTGGGGCCGGGTGCGGTGGCTCACGCCTGTAATCCCAGCACTTTGGGAGGCTGAGGCGGGCAGATGACGAGGTCAGGAGATCGCGACCATCCTGGCTAACACGGTGAAACCCCGTCTCTACTAAAAATGCAAAAAAATAGCTGGGCGTGGTGGTGGGCACCTGTAGTCCCAGCTACTTGGGAGGCTGAGGCAGGAGAATGGCGTGAACCCGGGAGGCGGAGCTTGCAGTGAGCCGAGATCGCGCCACTGCACTCCAGCCTGGGCGACTGAGCGAGACTCCCTCTCAAAAAAATAAATAAATAAATAAATAAATAAATAAATAAATAAATAAGCAAGCTTTCGCTAGTCAATTCAGTCAATTTTCTAACAGTGTATTCAATCATCAGTTAACAAAACAATAACATAGCTAGATATACAGAGGCTTTATAGCAGCTCAATTTCCACAACTTGCCAAGTTAACCTTGGGAAAGTTACTGAATCTCATGACCTGCTCTTTTCTTCACTTATAAAATAGGAATATTTGTAAGCCTATTATAATGATTAAATTAGATAATTTATATAAATCACTTTATCGTTTGCTTAATGTAGAGTAAGGACAAAATGAAAAATCATTCACTCGTTTATCTACTTATGTATTACTTGAATGAATATTTATTCATCACCTATTATGCACCAGATACTGTTCTAGGTGCTGGGATGACAGTAGCAAGAAAGGCGAAATTTTCATTTTGTAGAGTTTAGCTGTAAAGAATAAAATAGACAATAAAGACAAGAAAATATTATATAATTTTAATTAGTAGTAAGTACTATAAAATAATAAAGTGAGGTAAAATGAAAACAATGAGAAAAGGGGGCACTATTTAAAATAAGCTATACAGAAAAGGCCTCTGAAAGGAGGTGATATAGGAAAATAGATTTAAATGTAATGAGAATGTCAACCATGTAAAAGGAGAGAAAAGAATTTCAAGCTTAAGGAATGGCCCTTGCAAGGACCCTGAGGCCTAAAAAAGCTGGATGAGATTGAGGGACATAATTGAGTCAGAGTTTTAGAGTGGAGTGAGCTGGAGAAAGAATGATGAAGACAAGGTCTGGTGAATGGTTCCAAGCCAAATCACACAGTGTTTTAAAGGTCACAGGAAGGACTCTGGATCTTGTCTTAAATTTAAAGTATTAATTTTATATATCCTATTTTTTAAAATTTATTTATTATTATTATACTTTAAGTTGTAGGGTACATGTGCATAACGTGCAGGTTTGTTACATATGTATACTTGTGCCATGTTGGTGTGCTGCACCCATCAACTCGTCATTTACATCAGGTATAACTCCCAATGCAATCCCTCCCCCCTCCCCCCTCCCCATGATAGGCCCCGGTGTGTGATGTTCCCCTTCCTGAGTCCAAGTGATCTCATTGTTCAGTTCCCACCTATGAGTGAGAACATGCGGTGTTTGGTTTTCTGTTCTTGTGATAGTTTGCTAAGAATGATGGGAAGAACTTCCATTTGCATGATTTGGCTAACTTCACAAATCCTCATGGAATAGTTTTTATTGCCACTGCCATTTGATAGATATAAAACTAAGGCTCTTATATAATAATTGTCTTGACAAATGACAAAGCTATTGAGGAAAAGAATCACGTTTGGAATCCTGATCATTTTACTCAAAATCCCATGATTGTCACACTTTATCAATTGTGGAAACACCAATAGCTCAACAATGTAAAAGATGAGAAGTCTCATATCCTCATTATTAAATAGTTATGTTTCTCCCTTTTAGTGATGTTGCAAATTCAATTATACCTTCTTCACTAATACACACACATATATGCACACAAACTGTGAACAAATAGAGCTGCATATAAAATTATACATGAAGCCTATAAAATAGATGTGATCCATCTCTCTTGACAGTGTCATTTCAAAGGGCTCGTACATACAATAAATATTAAAATATCTCATTGAGAGCAAAATAATTTCCTTCATGTTGACATTTCCACTCCTTTCCATATCACCTTATTTCCTGGAAAATAAATCCTTTTGGTGAGATTCATTGTAAATATAAGTGAGTTTGTGGTACTTGTGAGGAAAGGGGAAATTCCATTAGATTCACTTAAATATAAATGTTTTCCAAAAAAAGAAAGAAAAAACGGAGGCCACTGATAAAGTAAATGAGTGGTAAACATTAAGAAATCTGGGTGAAATAATTTATGAGTTAGACACTAAGTTCTAGCAAAACAGGATCAACCTCTTAATGCAGGAAAATGACAGACTATGTCTTCAAAACAAAATGCTTTTTTTCCCTAATGTGTTTATTACATTTGTGAATGATAGCATTACAAAGGCTTCTAAAGCAAAGAGTTAGTTAAGAGCTTAGTTTCTTCATCTTCTATTCAAATAGCTCTGTTTTCTTTCTTTCTAAATCATAATATGGAAAAAGGTATTATATTGATTTTACCAGACTTAGGGCAAACTTCACCAAAGTGTTCCAAATAGATCTCTACTCTTGCCTTGCAATTCTTCATGGGTTTTCTGACTTCCCTCATTAGCTGATATTTGATGACTTTTACAGTCAACAGCTAACACAGCAAAAAGCCAGTATAGATACATTAGCCTTTATTCTCTTCTTCTATGGGGGGCTAATTAAATTACTGATCAGATAATAAAGAAAAGGGTATCCAAAAATATCTAAAATAATTATATTCAAAATGAATGTATTTGTTGGATTATTCTTTGAAAACTATTAGCATTGACTCTTGACCAATGTGGGAGTTAGGAGCACTGATCCCCTGTACAGTTGAAAATCTATATATACATTTTGACTACCCTAAAACTTAACTATTTATAGCCTACTGCTGATTGGAAGCCTTATTGATAATATAAACAGTCCGTTATCACATATTTTTAATGTTACATGTATCATATACTATATTCTTAAAGTAAGCTAGTGAAAAGAAAATGTTATAAAGAAAATCATAAGGAATAGAAAATATATTTACTATTTATTAAGTGGAAGTGGATAATCATAAAGGTCTGCATCGCCATTGCCTTCACATTGAATAGGCTAAGGAGAAGGAGGAAGAGGAGGGGTTGGTTTTGTTGTCACTGGGGAGGCAGAGATGAAAGAAAATCCATGTATATGTGAACTCGCACAGTTCAAACCTGTGTTGTTCAAGGGTCAATTATAATTGTAGTAAATACTCACTGTCAATATATCTTTACCCATATGTATTAATTCATTTAACGTTTTTGAGCCCCTATTTTGTCTATAAACGGTTAGAGTATAGGAATATAGGAATGATACAACAAAATAAGACATAGATTTTCCCCCTAAATATTTTGTAATGTAACTGGGCACACAAAATAAATATGCAGAAAAAACATATAAGCAATTCAAAAGTAAAACAGCAATATAGTTATAAGTAAGGAGTAGGAAGGATGAGAGTAGGTTTGATAATTAGGAATACAGGTGTTCCTCAACTTATGATGGGATTATATCTGAGTAAATCTGTCATGAGTGGCAAATATCATAATGGAAAGTGCATTTAACACACCTACCCTACTGAACATCACAGCTTAGCCTAGCTGACATTAACCATGCTCAGAACTGTTACACTAGTCTACGGTTGGGCAAAATCATCTAACAGAATACCTCTTTTATAAGAAAATGCTGAATATCTTATGTAATTTATTGAATACTGTATTAAAAAATGAGAAGCAGAATGGTCGTACGGGTACTCAAAGTATAGTTTTCACTGATATGTATCACTTTCATGCCATTGTAAAGTCAAAAAATTGTAAGCTGAACTCTCATAAGTTAGGGATTATCTATAATTAGAAACATAATAATATAGAGAAAATCTCAGAGAACACAAAATTAGAAGAGTTAAGAGTTTAGTGAGGATAGAGATTGTATAAGTCCATTTTCACACTGCTAATAAGACATACCTGAGACTGGGCAATTTTCAAAAGAACAAGGTTTAACTGGACTTACAGTTCCACATGGCTGGGGAAGCCTCACAATCATGGCAGAAGGCAAGGAGAAGCAACTCATATCTTACATGGATGGCATCAGGCAAAGAAAGAATAAATGAGACGCAAAAGCGGAAACCCCTGATCAAACCATCAGATCTCCTGAGACTTATTCACTACCACGAGAACAGTATTGGGGGAACTACCCCTATGATTCGATTATCTCCCACTTTGTCCCTCCCACAACACATGGGGATTATGGGAGTAAAATTTAAGATGATATTTGGGTGGGAACACAGAGCCAAACCATATCAGAGATTAATGTGGACTCAAAGAGTTAGGGAAGGAGTTGTGAGAGGGGATTTAAAACTGAACTAGTCTTTAAAGAATGATGAGAACTAGACAGCAAAAATAAGAGGGATCTAGCCCAAAAACAGGAAGGAAAGAATGAGCTAAGCACATTAAAGGGACAGTGAGTAAAATAACCTGAAACAAACTTGAAGAGTTCCTGTAGGTAAAATTAGGTGTTAAGAATGGACCAGACTAAAGAAACTTGGAGAGTAGAAGTCTAAGGAGTTTAATTCAATGCAAGAAGCAATTTCTGTGGTTTATAATATATAACATACAAGAGTAGGTGGTGTGGTAGATTAAGAGATTAGTAGAATACAGAATTTCTCACTCTTTAAAGAAAGTTAAAAGAACCAATGTGATTTTTTTTTCCCCCATAGGAAATAGGGAGCTATTGAGAAAATATTTCGGCAAGAGAATAATTGAAGAGTTGATGAGTAATGTGTTTAAAAGGATTTCTTTGACTGCATTATTTAGCATGAATTCTAGTGCGATTACATGATGATTAAACAAACAAA